AGTGGTCTTTTTTCACCTTTCAATTTTAGCATTTTTGCATTTCTCTCTTAAGCCTCGGTTCATCGATGCTGCTATTTCCTTGAGGACACATAAGCTAGTAATTTACTCTTCTTAATCAACTTCTTAATGAATAATACTTAAACTTCTTATTACGACCAATTTAATGTAAACTTTTAGATGCCTTCTCCAGTGTTTGCATCCATAAAAACGAAATGGGTAGCGCTAGAGTGTCTGGATCTGGAACTTCAGACAACATGGAGGAATGTTCAGCACAACCCCTACCATCGTCACAGTTTCCGCGCACCCTGTACGTGCATCCGGAGAGAAAGCAGATCTTTTCGTGTTCTACTACTCCTTTCTATGGGCATGCAACGATCAAGTGGTTCGGCGCGTTAACAGTTAATGACGCCGAGTGGTATGATCTCACTAACTTGACTTCCATCGCAGAGTTGAAACGCGGGGGCATCAATGGTGCCAGCTATATTAAGACGGTGTCCCTCCGCTTACCACCTGCGAATTCGATGAGACTCGGTGCTCTCCAATGCCGAGGCTACCCCTCCGCTGATGTGGATTACACTACGCATACCAGCATTGTAGATCAAGTAGCGCTGAAGCCATATGGTTCGTTCATTTTTTGGTTTACGAATTCACTTCTTTAACCAAAGTATTTAAGCTTGGATTTTGGCACCAACCTCATATCGTTAACAAAAGGGAAAAGTAGTCTAAGGTTAATTAAATTCACCATACTAGCGTGTTTTTTACCTATAATGTGACCAATTAATTATGCTTGAACTCTAAAAAATTGTGCAACACGTGAGATTTATCAAATTCTCAAATCGGGTTTGCTGCTATCACCATGATGTGGGATATCACCGACTCAGTCTTTCCTCACTGAAACAGCTACTGCCATTACTGCCTCTTTATTTGTAAGCATCTGTAAGAGTTAATCGGCAAATTTAAGGCCTCATTTCCCTCATTAATCTGACACTCACATAAACGGTCGCTCAACCAAAACCATCATCTTTGTCTAAAAAATTTGAATTAGTGAGGATGTTCTTTTATCCCTCGTAGTCTTTTAAATCAAACTTTGTTAATAAATGAACTTGGCAATTTTTCCTCGACTTTTGTTACCAAAGGTGGCGATTTGAGGAAAATTGGTGCAAAATCCCCAACATTATTTATGTATAAATAACCACTGACACTCAGAATAAAGTAATGCACGACACTATTCTCGCACCTGAAAGTTCACTTTAGCTCTGAATCATTTTGTTGCGAATAGAGTTAAGGGCTACAGTACCTGGATTGCAATGCGCCAAAAACATCTTGTTTGTTGGTGGTGATGAACTTTGATTCATAGAAAAAGGGGATCTTAGGCGTACGGAAGCCTCTGAACTTTGTGCTCCGACGGAGTGCAAAAACCTGCTTGTCGTCATTGGCGGACTTCTAACGGTCCACCTACCTGTTGAAAAATGCACATTTGGAAGGAATCAAAAGAACCAAACCATGTTGCTTTTCCATTTTTGCATTTCTAAAATCGTTCGTGCTTTCATACAAAGACTGGAAGTAGCGAAAGTGACCTTTTGCTTCTGCTGATGCCACACAAAGCCCACAGTTCTGTTAATAATTCCCGCGGGTAAAAAATTTTAAAAACCATTGCAAATTTGGCTCTAAAATTTTAGGAACACGTTTTTGTATCGAGAGACTTGGGTTATTGGTGGATCCGGCTCAAGTTTAAACAACGCTTCGCAATATGGCTGTGAACATCCTTTGGACGTTGATAAGCATGATTCCAAGTGCCAGTTGTATTAAGCACTGGCCATAAACTCACTCCATTGCTAGTACAGATGAACTACTCTTCTCCAGCTATAAAGGACCTAGATTAAAGCAAGCGCAAGTTCACTTCACACATTAAGAACAGATAAGGAGTGCACCTCATTAGCAAAATGTGGTGAATAGTAGCTTCATCGCAAATTGCCATCTGGTTTCTTCTCGCTCCATGCCATTGTTGTACGTAGTTAGCAGGAGAGGGTGAATGCGATCGCGTGCAGATATTCATCAAGAGGTAGAAAGCGAGTGAATGAGTGAGCAGAGTGGGTGAGTATGCTGAACTCTGATGCGCTCCGCATCCCTTCGCTCATTATCAAATGCCTTTTGCAATGGCAGCAGGAGAGGGGAGAGGGAGAGACCGAAGAGAAGGAACGAAGGGACCGTAGGGAGGTGAAGGGAGGGACAGTGGGGAATGACGAGGCTGCATTCGGTCAGTGAACGTGCAAAGGTTCATTAGCAGAGCTCTTAATTGTCGAAAACCAATTTCTTCTTTTGACCTATGAAGGGAGATATCCTTTTGAGTTCCTCTGTGGCTCCTGCTATCTTCATGGAATTGAATACTAAGTGGATTGGTAACCATATGCTATCAATATGCACTCATCAAATTCTTACCTAGATATCCTTATAGTATAGAAAATCACTTTAGTAGTTTCTTCGATGAGATGGCACATCCTATCGCCCCACCTTAATGCTAATCATGTATATGCTCTTGTGATCGTAATTCCATGTCCCA